TGTGTCTTCATTTCTTGAAACTGACACGATTGAACATAGGTACAATTATTTCGCGACAAATTGTTACTTTTTTCAATTAGCATCCAAAACCCTGGCATAATTATTATTTTGTCAGTAGGCTAGCAGTCAGTAGACTCTCGTCTGTAATCAGAAGCCGAGACAGAGAGCCACGGGAGCTTAATTTACTTATTACCACCATCGCCACGTGTGGGTGGCAATAAACATAGACTATTACGTCGAGACTGGTGGACGGATTGCAAAGTGGATACCTTTGCGAAGAACGTCTGACAAAAGCGTGAAAAGGTATAGCATGATAAGTAAGTAAGTATAAATAAGCGTTGGCCAATTAAATCGAGAAAGCTCGCATTCAGGCGAAAAATCCGTCATCAATCTTTCATACCAACGAGCTATCGGTTTTCCTTGACAGCCGACAAGAAAGAAAAAAGCCCTGGTTATTCGCCAAACACACGTCGGCTACCAACATATCAGCGTTCATTCTTTCTTTTTATTGCTATCTCTTGACGAGTTTCCTCTACGAATATATATATATATATATGATGAACTCTCGTCGATTTCGACGTATGAGTGTCCAACAACTAAATCAGTTCAAGAGTTTATGCCTGACATGATATTTGAGTTTTGTCAGTGATTTGCGGACAAGGTCACAAATGAGGGAAGGGTGAGTTCTTGGAGACAGGTGGATAATAATGGTGATGATGATGCTTTTGTCTTTGCGCTTGCTTTCTACAGGCGTTGGAGATTGCCGGTTTCAAAAGTCCATTATGCCAGTGATACAAATAGCTCTCCACATCTTGCGATATGTGGGTACATGCTGAAAGGCCTTATATGGGACGTTGATAGCCGAAACATTTCTCTTCAGGTTGCCTTTAAAATTAGAGACAGAGTGATGCTGGCTATATATGAAGATCTTAGTCATCCTGTCGTCACTCATTCTAATAACATAGCTATCCCATCTCAACATTTCATGGGAAAGATTTAAATTCCTCCAATTTCGCATTTTGTAATATTTTATTTCCAGCGGTCAGAATATATATATATATATATTGTTATAACGGTTGATTTGGTGAGCGGTAATGAAGTTATAATTGTCTATCTGGATGCAGTTTTGGGGTTATTTATAGTGTTTTTTGTTAACACTTTTTTTATTTATTTGTTATTGATTATTTTATTGTTGGTTGCTGTTATTAAGTTTACGGCTTTTTGTTGATTTGTTTATTAATTACTTATTGGTTCGGATTTATTTTATTTATGTGATGTAGAGGTTTCACAGTGGAGGCTTGTATTTGTACTAAGTCGGTCCTAAAATAAGTTCGACGTACAAAACGTTAGGAACTTGATATAATAGGTAATGACGCAGTAATCTAGTTGTAGTGGCTGATACTTTAATATCCGACTAACGGTCGTTCGACATCGACTGACTGACCGACTTGCTGCCGACTCAGCGACTGCTGCTACTACTCCTACTTATTATAGGTGGGAGAGTCTATTAACTATAGAATAGGTGTGTTCCAGTATAACAATTTATTTTTGTTTTTTTTATTTTTGTTTATTTATTTTTGTTTATTCTTTCGATTTTTAAGTAACGTACCAAAAATTCGTTTTCGTGCCAGCATTTTGAGATGAGTTCTGATCGTTTTTTTAGTAGTTTGTGTTGGTCTGGGAAGATAATTACAAGTATTTTCTTCTCCAAGCAGAATTTACAGTTTTGGTATTAATTGCCGTAGGCTGATGCTGTTTTTCTTATTTTCCATGATATCCTTTGTTCTTTATTCTTTTGTTTTTAATCTCCCAGATGTTTTCAGAAAGCATTGAGCTGTATCCACATAGACTACCTACAACGCATCACTGACCTATATTTGTAAATATTCGGGTAAAAACACATCACATATGCCCCGTAAATTGAGTATAAGCATGAAGCAGACTGTCACCGCTGAGTATTGACTTCAATATATATATATATATATATATATATATATATAGAGAGAGAGAGAGAGAGAGGGAATATTGAATTGAAGCATATTCATTGAAGCATGTTTGGCTGAATAATAATCCAACACCTATTTATTTTATTTTAATTCTCCCAAATTCATGGTTCAATTTTTTAATGTTGTTATTAAAATCATTAATGAAGGCTCCATGTTTTTTCTCATTTCTTTTATTTTCCCAAGTACTTTTAATCTCGTCCAAGATCATCTTCAGGAGTGAATTGCCAAAACAAAAATTGATGTAATTAATAGTTGTAATTTTTTTTAAATGCGTATGAAACGCGCCCTGTTAATTAAAAAAAAATAACGTTATCTAAATGAGGTAACTTAATTTATATTTGTAAAGTATTTTAAAACATTGCTATTATAATTGTAAGTTTTAAAAATTACAGTTTAGTTATTTTAAAACCTTGCCGTTATAGACATTTTAAAACATTGTTGCTATACTCATAATTAATCTTATTTAGTGTTGGTTGTATTTTTCTTATATAGAGAGCTTCAAGTATTTGAAGTTTTTTTTTTATTTTCATGGTGGAGTATACTTGTAATTTCAATTAATATTTCTCTAAATCGTCGATGTGAAGGGGAATGTTCCGTTAAATGTTGTGAATTAGAGCTTGAATCCGCCATATGTAATGTCGGATTAAACTCCTAAACTAACATATATTTACTTTTTTTCTCCCAAAGGACATTTAAATTGATATACAAAGTTTGTCTTTCGAAAACATTAGTTGACGGGAAGGGTTATTTCAGGTCAGTAAGATGATTGTATTAAATTTAGTATAGTATATAATTAGTTTTATTTTTTTACGGTTTATTAAATGTTGCATAATCGATGTTTTGTAATAATTAGGACATTCAATTTTATAGTTAAGAATGCACGTACTTATACTACTTAGTGTTTTATATATGGAGGTAGTAAATATAATATTACTGGTATCTGTCAATATATCAAGAAAAGGAATGTTATTTTTATTTTTATGTATATATTTATGTGCGTGTGTGTAAATGATAGAATAAGGAACAAATTAAAAACTTTTATAAACCTTACATGTTTCGCTTTTATTCAAGCTTCATCTGAAAATAAAGAAGAGAAAAGAACATTCTTGTATTTTTATTTTCGTGGTGTTTGTTTTTCATCGGTTAAGCAGACCTCTACGTGTATATGTCTTGCCAAGTAGCTTCCGTGTATATAATTCATGTGTCATATGTATCACAATTGTGGTTGATCTATGTGGGATCGGTTGATAATAAGTGTGTGTGTATGTTGGGCATGCGTTTGAATGTCTAGTGTTCATTTCCATCTATGTCTGGTAGTTTTCAGCATATTGACTGGCGGTTGTTTTGTTTGAGATTGAAAGAATTTAAGTTACACTGGTTGTGGCTCTAGGTATACACTTCTTAAATTTGTTTAAGTATGAATGTTATAAAAGTTGCTTAAGAAGTGTTTTCGATGTGTGTTTATAGATGGAAAACTATTTTTCAGAACTCCCTCTATTTTCTACGTAATATATTATTTTCTTTTATCATTAGGGTGGGGTTTATTAAATCGAAGTTATGGCCTGTTTTATTTCTATGTGTTATGAGCGAGTTTAAACGTAGGTCTCTATTATGTTCATAGATGCGGGGTTAGACTATCTACATTTGATGATAATATATATATATATATATATATATATATATATATATATATATATATATATATATATATATAATAAAATATAATAATAAAAAGGCTTAAACACTAATATTCCATTGTGTGTGTATGTCACCACAAAATGTATCCTTTCCGGTTACATCTTTAATGTATTAGACATCCGACAACATTCATATTTCTCTCACTTAAACCGTCTTTGACTCCCCTCTCTAAAACTTCTCTCTGTTAAATTTTAATCCCCCACCTTCTTTCGTCTGTTACCCCTCTCTTTAGCTCTAACATTCGTCCCACACTCTCATACTTACACTCTCTCTAAATTTTATTTTTTATTTCCGGAGTTGTTTTTTCTTTTACTTTTCTTTCGTTTTGTTTTTGAATTTGTAGGTCTGATGAATTTGATCGTATTTACGATTCCAATGGAATAAATTATGACCATGGAATATTAGTGTTTAAGCCTTTTTATTATATTCTTACTCTGTCCAGGACATTGAGTTCTACCTGGATTCTATCCTCTTGGAATGTTTTTTATACAAAATATATATGTATGTGTATGCATGCATGTATATATATTTCTATATTTTGCATATGTATGTGTATATTTACCACTAATATTATCAATATATATATATATATATATATATATATATATATATATATATATATATATATATATAGTATTCTTTTAATGACCGAAGGTAAGCAACGTCGAGACTGGTCGATACCGTGATGGGTGCCCCGTTGGGAATACCAGGTGATGGAAGATTGTATGTAAAAGTTGTATTATGGATAACGGCCATTTCAGTCATTTATTATTTTCATTTACACACAAATACTTTTGGGGATTGTACAAATCAACCTCTTCTAAAACCAGCTATAAATTTATTAGTAGGACTTATATCAGTAAATCATTATCATCTCTCAAAATTCTAACAATCTAAAAATAATATCTGGCTTTAAATAACCTGCATAAGATTGATAAGCCATAGAAAACAATCAAGCAATCACACTTCTCGTTTAAAAAGTACAAAAAATTACATCAATCAACCAATCCAATTTTTAGCGTCTATTCTTTTACCGTCTATTTTTTAGGTCCTCTTTATTTTTCCTCTCTTCTTTTACCCTCTCTTCTTTTTCCATCTTCTTTTCCGTTTTTCCCTTTCTCTTTTTTGTTCCTTTTTCTTTTTTGTTCCTTTTATGTCTCCCTTTTATGTCTCCCTTTTTATCTGATCTGTTTCGTTCTTTTCTCTCCTCTTTGACCGTTAATTCTTTTTCGTTCCCTTCTTTTTCTCTCTCCCTTCTTTTTCGTTCTTTCTTCTTTCTCTTTTTTCCTTTTTTTTATGTTTCCTTTTTTTAACTTTTCTTTCTTTCTTTCTTTCTTTCTTTCTTTCTTTCTTTCTTTCTTTCTTTCACCGTCTATTCTTTTTTTTGTCTTCTTCTTTATCCCTTTCTCTTCATTTTCTTTCTCTCTTTTTTCCATTTTTCCCGTTTCTCCTCTTTTCCTTTCATCTTTTTCCTTTTCTTTCATCGTCTTCTTTTTCCCCTTGTTTACCTCCTTTTTCTTTCTTTCTTTCTTTCTTTCTTTTATACCGTCTGTTCTTTTTAGTCCTCTTCTTTTTTCCATTTCATTTTTTCGTCTTTTATCTATTCACTGTTTCCCTTTATCGTCTTTTCCGTTTTATTCTTTTTTCCTTCTGAAGTCAACAACCAGAGCAATGTCCGTGACCAAGGCGAACCTTCAAATCGGAAGGCATCAGCTGTGATTTGACTTGTAAATGGAAAGGCTCTATATGGGACTGATGATGATAAAGTCCTCTCCACTTGAGAGATTAGCACACCACAATCTGCTTGGTGAAGAAGGTTCATTAGTATCTTTGTTACTGTTAACTATCTCTTCCGTTCTGCTTAAGTCGCCTTTTCTCAGACTAAGCTAAATTTATAAAATATTAAATCCAATATTACCTTTTTACGTAAAGTTTTTACATGCTTGTCTTGGGGATTTTATAAAGTTTTTCACTAAAAATAGAATCTGAAATCAGGTCGTCGATAGTTTTCATATTTTTCGTTAAAATGCTTAAATGCAGACGATAAGTAGACACTTGGCTTTTTTCTGTGTCCAGTAATTCTATCTGTTGCTTTATTGTATGTTTTATTACATTTTATTCTATTTATTTTCTGTAATCTCATAAACGGGAAACGGAACGTACGCACGCACACACCCGAAAACTTACATTTCATAGAAGTAGGAAAAAAAAAGAAAGAAGAAAAGTGACTTTCTCTTAATTCAATCATTTAATTTCCTCTTACTTTGTTTTTCGACTTTGTATGCAGTTTGACGGAGCAACAAACCAGAGGCATCGATGGAGAATTATTATGCCAAAACTGAAGAAGATTATCAAAATCGGCAGAAGCATAGAAATAAAAAATAAATATTTTAACCAAGCGGCTAAAAAACGTAGACGTCGATATGTAATGGAATTTTTGTAATATAGGCGTTTACATACCAACGGTGACTGCAAATGCTTACTTACAAATGCTGCAAGAGTTTTCAGTTGATAACATAACCCTACAAATCAGACGAGCAGGGTATTTCTAGCAGGATGATGCACCGGCTGCGTCAAGTATAGAAATTGAAGAGAATTTACAAGGAAAATATTCTGCTTTATCGTCGAGTGAAGAGAATGGAAGGAATGGAAGAATTACTTTTATTTAACTTATTATTACAGATCCGCCAGCAGTCACGAGAACCAAACTTGTTAGTGCTTATATGGTCCCTCATACTATCAGCAAGCAAAAACTTAGCCTCTTTAAGGACACGTTTTTGACGAGAGATCTGCCTTTCAGAACATAGGCGAACATGTCTCTCCACAAGTTCCCTTTTCTTTCAATATTTGTGTATTGTCATATTTTCGAGGGAAAGACAGCGGAGTAGTTTCTTGATCCAGTCTATAGCTGGGGAGAGAAGAGGTAGATTTATGTCTTTTTCAAGAATGTTAATGCGAAAGTGAATGTAAACTGGCTAGTCTTGGATTTGAACTCAGCTTCTCGATTTCATTTTACTCGGCAATAATTGTAACGCTAACCGAAACTTTTTATCATCTGCGTATAATATTTTTATAGCTATAAGATCGAGTTTATAATTTTGGTGCACTTGCTTGCATCGCGGAAGGTTTATTGTTTTCGATTAGTTTTTATGATATATAAAAGAAATTTCTTTTGAGATCGTTTTATTTGTCAGTCAACGACATAAGTTAGGAAATCTATTATTTACGAGTCTTTAATGTGATTGAGTTATTTGTAGAATAGTGTAATGGGAAGCCAAGATGAGTTCTGGCCTATTAAGCAAATTTTAAATAACGGATATTTTATAGCTGTTGGACATGTGCTATTTAGGTTGCACGAATTTGAACTCGTGTTTTGTTTTACACACACACACATACACACACATACACACACATATATATATGAATAAAAAGGGACAAGAGGAAAACTATTTTAACCGACGCGTTTCGTCCTATGAGTGACTTTATCAAGTCAATGTAAAATTTATTTTGATTCACGTATATATATATATATATATAAAGGCGAGGATGTGATTGGTTTATCAAAGCGTTTAAAATTGAGAACGTTCATCAGGTGGATGAAAGCTTATTCAAAGCATGTGGAGGACACAAAGTCTTATAATTCAAGTCTGGCAAGAAATAAAGTGATTGAGTAATATTCAAGAACTTTTTTTTTAATTTTTAAAAATATTGTTTAGACTGTGATTAGATTGTTATGGTGTGAGAAGGATGTATATGCCATACATCTTCAAAGGCATGAAATGATGAATGTAGCCGTTTTCCATTGATTGGGAAAGTAGTAATTCTTTCAGGAAAGGTGAGATTGGGAAAAACCGGGACATAGATTTATATTTTGATAAGATTCGATGGTGGTACACTCGGGAATTTTCCGTTCTGAAAGATGTTTGATGGAAAGGTAGCTTCCAAAATATACATTCATAATTAAGTAATTCCTCTAGAAATTACCCATAGGACTGTGCCCCCACGAGCCACGACTATATATATATATATATATATATATATATATATATATATATATATATATATGTGTGTGTGTGTGTATGTGTGTGAATAAGAGTGGTGATACCTTTTAAGAACCTGGACTCAAATGTGCTGTGAATGAACTAGCGATTAAATCACTTTCTAAACATTTTCATCTCAGTGAATTATTTTGTCTTTTAGTTAGTGTAGTATTTTTGTCAAAATTGTAATTAGTGTCGTTACGGTGAATTACCAAAGCGTTTTGAGTATTGTTTTTAAAATGTATCTTTTCTATTCATATAAAATTTTATTTAAACTACTTGAGGTTCCTTCAACATATTCCTTCAGGCAATACTTGCAGGTGATAAAATAAATTCCTCCTTTTATAAATTTAAAATTACCAGCGCCTCTCGTTGGTGCACATTGTAGTTGCATCAAAATAAACAAACCTAGTCTAATGAAGTCCTAAGGACGTAACTCGACCATATATATATATATATATATATATATATATATATATATATATATATATATATATATATATATTCAATAATATTTTATTTAAAAAATATTTTACATTGCTACATAATGTCTATGTTTCGGAACTTAAAATGTTTCATCATTAAAAATGTTTCTCAATCAAAGCAAGAAACTTTTGCCCTAACCGATGACTAGCAGTAAGTTAGGGCAAAACTTTCTTGCTTTGATTGAGAAACATTTTCCAAGTAATAATCTCCTAAACAAGATTTTCAATAAAAATACGCTTAAATTAAGTTATAGTTGTACTGATAATCTAGAAAAGTTATTAAAAAACATAATAATAAAATTTTAAATAAATACTTAAACCTAAATAATAATAGTAATTCCAAAGCAGAAATCAATAATACCGATAATAAATTATGTAATTTTACAAATCCCATAAATTTTTCATTGCAAAATAGATGTCTTACTGAATCTATTGTTTACCAATGCACAATTTCATGTACTGAAAAACCAGATGTTAAGAAATTTTATATTGGTAGCACAAAAAACCCTTTTAAACAAAGTTGGTATCAATATATTTCTTTTTTTTTAAGAACAATGCGTACCGTAACTGAACATCCCTCTCTAAATAATTTCGGTATTTAAAAGAAATAAAAAACTCAATAAAATGGAAAATATTAAAAAACGTGAATTTGCAAGTCCTTAAATGACCCATATCTGATTTCCTAAATCAGCGTAATTA